GAGCCGAGATCGAACACACTGACGAAGGCCCCCCCCCCGGGTGCAGCCGAGAGTGGAGGATTGTACTTCAGGCGCCCCGGGCAAAGAGTCGTCGGTAGGCCTTCCGGCTTGCGCCTCGCCACTGGAGGGCCGGGGCCGGGGGGCCCTGCTGCTCTTCACAAGTTCCAAGTGTGAATACACTGTATCCGTCTTCTTGCCGGGCGCGCGCGCGCCCCTCTGTGGCCATTCCCAGCCGCACCCCTCTCTCACGAGGGGCGAAGGGGTGCACGCAGGGGCCACAGGGAACCGGAGCAGGCGAGCAGGGACCACGACCGGCAGAGGGTCGGAGGGTTCCTCAGCCGGAGGCGTTATCATGTGGGCTCACATGATACCCAGACGCTCCTGGGCGATCGTGAGGGAAAGCCCCGCCCCGGACGCCCAGAGTGTGACACACACACACACACACTTCGCGCCTTTCGCCCGCTCTTGGGCCCTGCTGCCTGGCGGATCAGCGAGAGGAAGGGCAAACCAACCGATCATTCCTCCCTACTCACGGGCGGGACGGGCTACCGGCCAGCAGCCAGCCACCGATCGGGGGCTGAAAATCGTGCCAGGGAGACCCCCGGCGGCGTCCCCCCTCCCCCCACCAGGTTGTATCACAGCCTTTCCCTATTTCTTTTCTCTCTCTCTCTCTCTCTCTCTGGTTGCCGTTGTCCCGCCCACTCCCTCTCCTCCCCTTTCACTCGTCTTCCTCCTCTTCCTCCTCTTCCTCTCAGCTCCGATTGCGTATCTGCCTTCTCCCTGGCTCCTGCTCGCGCGCCTCCAGTGATGACATACCAGACGCTCAGCCTGCCGGGGGTGCTGTCTCCCTTTGCATGGGGCCTGGCAACCGACTTTGTCCACAGCATCTACCTTTCGCTGATGATTCGCCGTGACTTGTCCAGCAACACCTACCGTGCGTCTTGGTCCCGTTGCACTTCTTTCCCTCGGCGACATTCCTCTTCTTGGCCGGCTCGCCATCTGCTCGGTCTCTTCGCTTCCCTCTTGCCCCTTTTTCTGGACACGCCGGCGCTCCATGCCTGTCAAGTATGCTGACACCCTTGTCCATGGGTGTCAGATCGTTCCAACCGCCTGCTCGGCGCGGTGGCCTACTTTCTGATGCACTTCTCTTCCGAGATTCTGTTGCGCTTCCTCTTCGGCGAGCCCCCCCTGTCTGGGCTGGCGAATATCACCCTCCCCCGGGTGGTTGTGGCTCTTGCCGGATGGGCTCTGGTCATCCACGCGCAGATTCCCCTCCCTCGGCCTGGGCTGGTGCGCCCGCATCGTCGGTCTATCTCTTTCCTCGCTCTGCCCTTCCCAGCATGTTGCTCCTTGCCCCGACATTCTCCTGATGAATGATGTCCCCCCCTCCCGCCGCATTATCCGTCCCCACCATCATCACCGATGTCCGCAGTTTTTCCTGGCCCTCGCCGAGGGGTGGATGACCTACAAGAAGCAGGGTGACATGATCAACCATGCGATGAAGGTTTATGGCTCCGAAAACATTCTCCCGGCCATGGCCGTTGGGGTCATCTGCGGTGCGTGGTCCCTGTGTCTCCGTTGCTGTCCTCGGAATTCTGTGTTCCCATGGCAGTTGCCAGCACACATTTCCCTGCCCGTCCTCCCCCTCTCACTTTCTCTGTCTCCCTCCTCCTCCACACATGCACGATTACACCCACTCTCCCAACATTCAGTCCTCAATTCCGCCTTCATGCGTGGGATCTTCTCGGTCATCCGCTTTGGTGGCGTGTCCAACCCCGGAGGAGACCTCTTGACCAACCCGTGCGTCTTCACCTCCAGCCTTGTTTCTCATGCTTTGAACCTCAGCGACACGCTTCTCTGACGCTCTCTCTCTCTCTCTCTCTCTCTCTCTCTCTCCTTCTTCTTCCGCCCCCCCCCCCCCGGGCAGTGTCCTCCGCGTGGCTTTCTTCACCTCCGGGGCTTTCTTGCTGAAATCCCGCCTGGCTCCCTCGGCCGCCCGGATTCTCACTCCCCAAGTGGCCGTCCTCCTGTCCGGGCCGCACCTTGACGCGGCCATCATCGTCGCCATGACGGTGGCCTTCCTGTATCTGTTGGGGCTAGTGCGCCGATCGCTGCACTAGCCGATCCGTTGGCACCTACGCAGCCATTGGTAATATATCACCCCTGTCCCCCAAGGTTGCCGTGGCGGTGATGGCTACACGAGGCATGGGAGCCGGTGGGCGTAGGCGGTGGCTCCCCCTTGACGCACATGTGCTCCCCCCCCCCGGACAAGATCTCGGGCCGGCGCTGCTCCTCGCCTCGACCGGGCCGCACACAGCCGGATGGGTTCTTCTGCGAATACAAGCTGCTATGCATGTGTGTGGTTAGGGCGGCGGAGAGATTCGAGCGGCGCCGTGGAAGAACGCCCAGGCAGCATCCTCCCTGGAACATGCGCCTCCCCCCCCCCCCCACCGTCCATCTCCCGTCTCCTCTCACCGCTCCCCTGTGTCTCTTGATTTGTTCTCCTTCCTCCTTGCCTCTCCTCGTCGCACCATGGGCTTGATTGGTCAGGCTGCGCGGCGCCTGTCGGTTGGGCGCTTGCCAAGCGCCTCCTTGCGGCGGAGTATCGCCAGTATGCCGCCAGTTGTGGACACTATTTATGCTCCGGCCACCGCGGCTGGACGTGCCGGCGTTGCGGTCATCCGTATGTCGGGGCCTTTATCCAAACAGGTGCGTTCTTGTGTACGGCTGTGTATGGATCGCTGGATGGGTGTATGGATGGATGGATGTGTGTGTGTGTGTGTGTGTGTGTTTGTGATATGGGTGCACGCATGCTTGTGGCCTTCACATTGTGCACTGACCAATCTGTCCCCCTTCCCCTCCCTCGCACTTCCGCCCGATTGGCCATCCGCGTAGATCCTTGAGCTTTTGACTCCCGGTACCGGGGTGCCTCCGCCGCGACAGATGGCCGTGCGCTCGCTCCGGGACCCGACCACTGGGGAACTGGTCGACCGGGGCCTGGTGGCCTTCTTTCCCGGACCAGGGAGTTTCACTGGCGAGGACATCGCCGAATTCCACGTCCATGGCGGCCCGGCCGTTGTTGAAGGGCTGCTTTCGGCCCTGTCCAATGCGGGCCAGAATCTCGCGCCCCCGGCATCCGCTTCCGCCGGAGCTGCTGGCGGTCGCGTCCGCTGGGCCCTGCCAGGCGAGTTCACTCGCCGGTATGCATCACCATTGTTGTTCTCAACCCGCATCTCCCTCCTCTCTCTCTCTCTCTCTCTCCCGCTTTCTCTCTCTCTCTCTCTCCCGCTTTCTCTCTCTCTCTCTCTCTCTTTCGCGCTCTGGGCTTTCCATTCCGGGCCCGCCTTTACGCCGAATCAACCATCTCTCCCCATGGGTCACCGGCCGCTGACAAGCCTCCGCTCAGCTCTTTTCACAATGGCAAGCTGGATCTGACCCAGGCCGAAGGCTTGGCCGATCTGCTAGCGGCAAATACGCAAGCCCAGAGGCGCCAGGCTCTGCGCCTGGCTGGCGGCGCTGCCCGACGGGCTGCCACTGCCTGGCGAGGGTCCATCTCCCGTGCTCTGGCACACCTGGAGGCGTTGATCGACTTTGCCGATGACAATGACTTCGCCGAGCAGGAAACCCTGAGTGTCGGTGCGCAGATAGCCAGCTTTCGCACTTCCTGCCGGCGCTCTTGTGCCATCGCTGACCCAGCGGCCGTTCTTCGGCGATGCAGCGGCCGACGCGCTGGCGGCCATTGTGGAGGACATGGAATTCCGTCTCTCCCGCAGCCACTGTGGCGCCCTCATCCGTGATGGACTTCGGGTTTCGCTGGTTGGCTCGCCGAACGCCGGGAAGAGCAGTCTCCTGAATGCCATTGGTCCGTCCTTTTTTTTGCCACCTTTTTGCGCTTCCTCTTGGGTTTCCCCCCCCCCCCCCTTCACACACGGCTGACATTTGGCCTTTCCCTCCCTCCACGGGTACGGGTGCTGGGCACAGCCGAGCGCGAGGTGTCCATTGTGTCTCCGTTTGCCGGGACCACGCGGGATATCGTTGAGGCTCCCTTGTCCCTGGGTGGCTTTGCCCTCCTGGTTAGCGACACGGCCGGGCTCCGGTCAGCCCCACCGTCCGGGGGCTCCGATGGCCATGACCTGGACCCGGTCGAGCGCGAGGGCATTCGCCGGGCGCAGGCCAAAATCGCCGATGCACATCTGCGCCTGGCGGTCATCGATGCGCAGGCCTTCCTGGCCCGGTCGGAATTAGGTCCGTTGCTTGAGCCTGTGCTTTTGGATGGCTGCTCCGTGCTTGCGACAATGCTCACAGATGGAGCTGACTTCCTTTTGCTTCACCCCCCCTCCCCGCCCATGCAGACCCCCTTGTGGCGGCGCAAATCACTGGCGATACATTGGTGGCCTTCAATAAGGTGGATCTGCTGCCTGCGGCCGATGGCGACCCCATGGCCGTGGCAGACGCCCAGCGCCACATGCTGGCCTCTCGGCTTGAAGCGGCCCTCGCCGAACATGGAAGC